CACACACACACACACACACACGCACACACGCACACACACACACACACACACACACACACACACACACACACACACACACACACACACACACCCCTCCCCCTGCCTAAACAGTGCCATTATTTTCAGCTATAAATCACACTGAATGGCACATTGATTTTATCCTGCAGGGCGGCGGCACGAAGGGGAGCTGCAGACACAGTTATTACGTTTAATATTATCAATATTATCTCCCATATCATCTGAGACAGGGAGGCAGGTTTCAGGAGGAGTCGACAGACACTTTTCTGCCAAGCTCCTCTCCTCCTCCCCCCTCAGAAAGACAGTTTCCATCAATCAGATAAGCCGAACTTCCCCCGTCGCACCTGCAGGGCAAAGTCACCCAGCATCCCCTCGCCTCCCGACTCCTTCCACACTTCCTTCCTCTCACTATGCAGATTCTGTGACCTTCAACCTCCCTTTTGGTTCCTTGCTGAACTCTGTGATGCAACTGGGTTCTCAGCAGGGCTTCATCTGCTGATCGTTCAATCTAAATAACCAGAAGTTTGTCTCTAAAGTCACAAGTTAGTGGAGACAGTCGGCCAACGTGGAGTTCAGGAGCTGGCGAGGTTCGACCACTAAGAAAAGGCTGCACGCTCTTTTCCAACCCAGTTTTTAGTTACAACAACATATTTATATCATTAGCTCTTCGTTTGCTTTAAGCTGGGTGCTGTTTAGGCCGCTCCTTTTAAGATAACTCCAGAATTCCACATCCATCTTCCGTGTTTTGAGGACTTTCTGTGACAGCAGCATCCGAGCTTCCTTTAGTAAATGCAATTTGATAAAACACGTTAAGTTTAAACACTCAGCACAATCCGGTGAGCACCAAGGCTCCGTCACAAACCAGAGGACGCTTTTAATAAAAAAGATAAGAAATAAATTATATTGATAATAATAATTCATCACTTAAACCAACAGGTCTACCTGACGGGTTGAGTCGGAACGTTTAGCCACAGCCGAACTTACAGAGAAACGTTATTCTCAGTGAAAATCCAAGAAACATGAAGTAACGGAGAGAATTTAGTGGTTTTAATTATTAGTCATCAGACAAATAAATCACTTTTTACCATTTTTATGTTTTAGCGTTTGCTCCCTTGTCCTGGTGTGAGTACATTTGCAGTGGTCTCGCAGGATCAGTGCCTTGTCATTTGTATTTGGGGGAATAAAAGCTCCTGCGCACCAGTTTCAGGAACTAGAAGTGAGCCAGTTCGGAGCTGAGCTTCAGATTTTTGAGTCTTATTTTCTGATGTGCGGACATCTCTCCTCGGATTGGCTAACAGCAACATGACTCTACCACTGACTCTGCAACATTGATGTTTTGTCCCATCAAATAACACAAGCCTGGAGGAGTTCTGCTGTGTGGTGGAGTTGCTCATGCTAACGGTTAGCTTCTACTAGCCATTTCCTGGATGCTAAACCAACAACAGCCTTCTCGTCAAGATGGGTGAGTCCATGAATGTTAGTGACAGTGTGACATACATCTGTCAGGCTTTTCTAATCCTAGAGTTTCACCGTCTGTTTTCTATCAGAAGCTACTGCAGGAGATAGGTGTAGGAGACTATTTTCATGTTCAGCCTCGGGGTTGTATCAACTAGTAGGGCTGGGGGTAAACGATTAGTTTTAAAACGATTATTCTGACGATTATTTTATCGAATAGTCGACTATTCTAATGACTATTTAGACAATTAATCTAATGATTATTTTTCTATTGCACAGTTAATAAAAACCAAAAAATCTCAAATAAATTCCTCAAAAAAATTGATAAATTGTTACTGTAAGAGAATAAACACTACAGGCCTTCATTTTGTATAACACTGCTTTTATTGTGTTGGTTGGTTATGTTCTGGTGACGTGTAGAACTTGGGAGTGCAGGCTGCTGCCTGAGAGGTGGATGGAGACGGAGTGTCCTCATGCTGCTTTGTGTTGGTCACTTATGTGCGTGAGGCGAGTGGTGTTACAACTCTTCCTGGGGAGTTTGGCTCGTGTGCAAAAAGGAAGGGACAATAATGTGGGAATTAAAAGTTAAAATGATGATCAGGTTTATTTACAACTAGAAAAAAAAACATAAATCTTTCCATCCACAGGTTGGGAATAATAAAACTAATTCTGATTATGGGGAATTAAAACAAAGTACAAATAAGTAGGGATGTCCCACTGGGCTAAGATGAGAGGGTTCTGGACCAAAATAAGAATCTCCAAAGGTCCAAACTCTAAACTGGGCAGTTAAACCAAACTCAAGGGGATATTTTAAACTAAACCGAAAACCCACAACACTCTAAATGTAATAAAAGGGAGATCTGCACCACAAAAAAGATCAACTCTAAACCAAAACGTAACAGCTTATCCAAATGCAAGAAGTTGTTAGCGAAGATGCTAACAGTAGCTTTACCAACGTTAAGTTCAAGTTACCAAGTTTAAATAAACCAAAAATACCCAGCAGCAAACAGACCAGCACAGAGGAGAGACTGCTACCACCAAAGCAGCTCTCCTAATGTCTGAAAGAAGCTCCTTTATGAAGGGAGAAACGCTCCCGGTGATGTCCTACATCTGCGATAGAGACGAAGCGGCGCATCTGACCCCGGAAGTTGTTGTCCGTTGCCGGGAGACGACGGCGGGCAAAACAGGAAAGGAATCTAGTAGCGGACGGACATTGTTCCGGGTCTTCGGTATTTGGGAGAAGAGGGCGAACTAGAGGAAAAACAGGCAGATTCCTCCTCTATTTACAAACTCCTGGGGATGCAACAAGTGGGCGTGGTACATCGACTACCGGATCTGACACCGACGAATTTTTAGAATCGAGCCATCAACGTCGTTGACGCTTCGCTACAGCCCTATCAACTAGTTGACTTCACTGCTCTGTAGTGACTTTTTATGCCTTTCATAGACTAGTCGCTGTCACGTGATAATGACCGACAAGATGCAGTCCTTGGAAAAGACAGCAGGTGACGAGCCCCTGCGAGTTGGGAGGCGACGCGCTGTGCCAGAGCGTCGGTATCTGACGCCCGCCGTAAAACGGACATTTGACCGAATTGTGACCTTTACCCTCTTGCAATTTAACCTTCCCCTCACCCCCATCCTAACCTTAACCAGCTTGTGCATGCAAAGCTCTGATCGTTGATGCGCTCCAGACATCTGCGTCCCGAGCACGGCCACAGTAACATCATCAAATCAGGTGTCGCCACCTCAAAAACAAATTTAACACGCGATCATTCATGTCGGCTCATTTCCTTTTATGTTTTCTGTCTTTTCTTTGTGCCGGATGCGTTTCGCTGCTGTGGAGCGCATCACCTGTTTTGTCCTCCGGTGATGCACCTCACCGGTGCGGCCGGTGCAGCCGGCGCGCACTCCGCTGTTTTTGCGGTCGCTAGATCTTTTAGAAACTGCAGTTCAAAGGTAACTCACAAGGTGAATATATATGAACCCAGGTAGTAGTTTTTCTTTAGGATTGAGAGGAGATGCAGGAAGATAATAAACAGGCAGGACAGAAAATAGTCAAATTAAAAACAAGTTAGTTTTTGTACCTGCTGGTTGCAACAAACAGACACCATTGAAGGTAATCAGAAGTCAGGAACAGAAAATGAAATAATTATTTTAATGTTTAGAGCAGCAGGAACTCCGAGAGGCTGCAGGTGCATCAGTGAGTTTGCCACCGCTGCGTGTGTGTGTGTGTGTGTGTGTGTGTGGGGGGGGGGGGGGGGGGGGGGGGGGGGGCTGAAGCAGGAGAACAGCAAAGATGCAGAAACTACGTGTATGACGTCATCAACGACTAGTCCGAAGCCAACTCGATTTTGATTACTTGACGGTCGACTTTAAAAAAATTAAGTTATGCAGCCCCGGAGTTCAGCCTGCATGAAACACTCAGAGTGACCCGTTAGAAATAGAAGTGATCATTTAAAACGGGTTTTCATTGAAGGACCTCTTTAAATGCTTAAATTGCAAAACCCCATTAGATTAAAGGCGCGTACATGTGAAGATTATTGTCAGAAAGTTCAGCTGGATGTTCAGGGGAAATTCACAAACAGGCAAAAACATCATCATCCACCTTTCCTCTCTTAGTTTGTGTCTTTGATTTGATCCCTTCTGTAGCATGTGAAACAGCCGAAAACGTTGAAGTTTAAAGAAAACGGGGGGCTTTAGTTTTGACCAAACTTCACAAAGATAAAGTTTTCCTTCCCTGACTTCCTGTCACCTCGGCAGCTCCAGTAACCAGGACATAAGCCTGCTACCGAACCTCTAAAGAGCAAACATGGTTACTGTTGTCGAGCCAAAACACAGAAACACATCATCAAAGAAAAAACCTGCAGAGGAGAAAGTGAGTGTTTGCTGCTAATCCTGCGAACTGTCTGAGACGGTTCAACACGATGAAACCAGAGATTACCGCTGCTGCCGTCTGTTCCTTTATGCATCACACACACTTTTTCTATCATCGCCCATCAGATTCTGATGAAAAGTGGAAAAAGTTCACTAATTCTGATTGGCTGGAAGGAGAGCACGATAATCAGAGGTCGGAAGGGGGTGACACGATGACTTATGGTGCAAGAAGTGGATTTTTATCACGCTTCCTGTGATAAATATAAAAATGATTGTTTGAAGCGAAACAAAACAGAAGGAGGAACTTCAGATGTTCGTGCAGGCTGCTGGAGCCGATTCTGAGAAGAGAGAGGAAGAATAAAAGCCACGACGGGCAGAAAAGTAGTGAACAGATGCTCCTCTGTAAGGTGTGTGTCGGAGCTTTGTAGGAGCATTAATAATAAACGGGCTTCGGGCCAAGCAGGAAGGGCCAGTGTCTGGTCCCGCTACTGGGAGAATGTGTTTTTTCTTTCTAAAGCTATCAGGGTGGTTATCGCCGGTGTGCGTGTGTGTGTGCGCGTGTTTGTGTGTGTGTGTGTGTGTGTGTGTGTGTGTGTGTGTGTGTGTGTGCTGTCCAGATGGCGGATAAGAGGCCCTGCCTTTATTAGCCAGTGTTGGCCAGATAAAGACCTGGTATTGATCCCAGGTTGAAAGAGCAGGTTCGTCAAACATGGCTGATTTACAGAGAGCTGATAATGGCAGCGCTGGGCAACCGAGGAACCCCGGGGAGGAGAAAGAGGAGTAAATCAACAGAGTGATGATGAAGGAAGACTGTGTGTGTGTGTGTGTGTGTGTGTGTGTGTGTGTGTGTGTGTGTGTGTGTGTGTGTGTGTGTGTGTTGGTCTTAAACACATTCAAAAATAGAGAAAAATGAACACCAAGTCAGTTTGCTATCGACAAAACTCTCTCACATGTGCAGCATGTGCCTGAATTCTCTCATTTTCTTCCTATACAACACACACACACACACACACACACACACACACACACACACACACACACACACACACACACACACACACACACACACACACACACACACACACACACCACCACGAGCTAATCTCTAATCTTGGTCTCGATTAGCACCTGACAGAATTTCCATGGGTTTATCAGAACCCGAGCCAACCAGCAGACGCTTATCGCCCTCAGCCCCCAAAATTTCACAAGAGCAGGAATTTTTTTGAGATTAAAAACACACAGCCGGTGAAATCTTGAATAAGTCAAAAGAATATGAGTGAAAACTCAGCGAGATGGCAGGTGCTGGTGGTGGGGGAGGCTTGGGATGAGAAGGTGCATTAAAGGGGCGGAGCCTTTGGAGTCTACAGAAATGTTTTTAGATGCATTAAAGATAAAAACCGGCAGACTGCAGCCCCATAAAGATGATGCCGCCATCTTTTTTCTTCTTCTGCGCTTCTTCTGGCTGACGCTAACGGTCTCCTGACTGATAACACAAACACGTCAGTTGATGAACAAAGTCTTGATGTGGAGATAAGACCGGTTATAACCACTAATAACCGACAGCTCATGAGACATCTGGATGAGGCTGCAGCAGCTGCTGCTGATGCCACTTCAGAGCTGTACCTGAAATTCCCGGAAAATCCTGGAATCACTGCACAGAAAGAAAACTCTGAACATCAGCTTTAACTCATGTTAAAGCCTTAACTTTGTGTTCCTCTACAATAAAAAGGTGGTTTTATTCTCTGCAGAACAGACTTTCATCCTGTTTCCACCTTAAATGTCTTGATAAACGGAGATCTAGACTGTTGGGGGACCTCATCCTAACCCAAAACCTTTCAAAATAAAGGTTTCTTATGGTTTTGTTGGTGTGGGAACAAACAGGAAGTGAAAGCTCGTCTTCTCCATCCTCTCCTCACCTTCATTGTGCAGCGGCGTGTACGAAGGGGGGCTGGAGCTGTCACCTTCTGCTGAGTCCTCTGGGTCAGAGGCTCCGCCCTCCTCTCCTGATAGGCTCAGGCTGTCAGCTGTATTCTCATCCCCGCCATCGAGCTCCCCGAGGGAACCTGCCACAGAAAACCAGTTCAAACTATTATTCTAAAATCATTTTATTCTAAATTTATAAAATAACTTTTAAAATTAAGCAAAAAAAAAAGTCACGAAAATGCACAAAACCTTTAATTCTCCTGTCCAGAGGGGGCTTCGGGACCCTCCACAGTCACCCTTAGTAACTTTGACTGGAACCGATTTATAAACTTGTAATAAAAATGCTGGTTTGTGCTAGGAATGCAACGATACCACTGTTTTCCAACCCGATACGATACCGATACTTGGATCTGAATATTCCACCCCCTAGCCGGCCGAGCCCGGGACCCAGCGACCCGGGACCCAGGGGCGATCACCCCCCACCGGGGACCCAGCAGAGCCCAGGGACCCAGACCCCACCAGGCCGCCACCGGGATTGATCAAGCAGATGCCAAAAATCTTAAACCCCCTGACCCGGGAGCCATGAACACCCAGGCAGACCAAGGCACCGCACCTCATACCAGGTGTGGCAGGGGGAGGGGAGACGAAGATCTATATCATCAAAAGAAGTCCCAGGAGAAGGGAGGAGTCAAAGGCCCCACCTGACATATACAGTCATACACAAACACAGTCACACACTCCCTCCCTCATGCTCACACATGCACATACAACCAAAGACACAAAAATGCACGCTGGACACCCACTCATGCTCCCCATACACACCCTATTCACTCTGGTCCCGGTACTGCTGCACATGGGGTACAACCATCACCGGTTACCAGAGTTTGACCCTTTCTGCTGGGGTGCTGATGAGCAGGCTCCCTCGCCCAACGGTGAGCACAGCAACCCAGTTGTTAATGAGGTGTATTCCATGGCTGTGGTGAGCGGGCAGTGCGGGCATTGTCTGGCCTATGCCAGCTGATGCCACCGCACCACCCCACTTGCACCCACAGGCCTCGGTGTCTAAGTGCAGTTTAAAATTGGAAGTGGGCAGCGGCACTCGGGAGGAGGCTGAGAAATCCCCCTGCCAAGTGCCGTTGAATGTGCTCACTCCCAAGGCCCTAAGTGTGTGTTTGCGTGGAATGTCGTCGGTGGAAGTGTATAAGGTGCAAATAAAATTGGGGGGCGGGTTGCCACAGGAATGCGGAAATGGAGTCCATACCCACACTCCCTGACTTGTCCACCCCCCAAGGTCCTATGTGTATGTTTGTGTGATGATGTGAGGGAGCAGGAGGAGAGAAATATGCGGGGATGGGGAGGAATGGCTGGTTGGGCTTAGCCCTCCAGGGAGCCAGCTCCCCCACTGGCCCCAATAGGCAACGCTGTTGTCAAAATGCCACCCAGGGCATGGAGACCCCAGCCCATCCTGCCAGAGCCCAAAGCAGCAGCATTACAGAGCCTCACGGAGTCCGAGGGCACCAACCCAGCCCCACCCCAGCACAATATCTATGCCCATCCCTGCATTTGCACAACTTCCAGAATATATGACATGGGACATCCAGGTAAGGTTGGGTCCTCCCCCTCCTTGTCCTCCCCCTCCCCTGTGATGGGACAGCAGAAGAGCCAAGGTCTACCCGAGGTCCCTGAACCCCGGCCAGGCACTGCTGCATGTTCCTGCCTTCTTCCCGGCAGCATACATGTCAGGACCCGACCCCCAAGGCCCCGCCCAGATCCCCACACGGGGCCGGCCACCCCCAAACTCCGAGCCCCCAGGCCCCCACCCAGACCCCTCCAGGGGCAATGCAGCTGCCAGGCAGTGACCCAGGGCCGCCGCCAAGACCTCCAAGGGGCTCAAGCATAAGAAAACATGAAGGCTTCAAAAGTATTAGTATCAGCACCTATCTGACAGCATGGTGGGAGTATCTTAAAATGACAGAGTCTTCACTAGTACCATGCAGACGCACACCTATCTGGAATAATCCTGATATTTTGCAAAATAATAAAATGATGAGCCTTCCGGACTGGAAGAATAAAGGAATCCTATCCCTGGAACACATACATGAAGGACTGGACTTCATCCCATTTAATAAAATAGTCTCCCAATTTGGAAGAATAGCTTTTTAGAATATCACCAAATTAAATCTGTAGTCAAACAAAATTTTAAGCTCAATAACATAGAATTACAAACACCACCAAGGTTATTAGACTTTTATAATCTCAAACCCCCCAAATTACTGTCTAAAGTATATAAGACACTGTCCAAAATAGACGATAGAATAGTAATCCCTATTGGAAAATGGGAGGTGGATCCATCAGTCAGCTTTGACCAGAACTTCTGGTCCCAAACTTGTTTAAAAACTTTTAAAATGATCAGACACTCCAATTTACAATTAATTCAGTACAAAATTCTACACAGAGTACACTATACAGGTCATCGGATGTTCAAGATGGGGTTTGTGTCGTCTGACACCTGTACACACTGCACAAACAACGTTCCTGACAAGTGAAGCCATTTTCAAGCAACTGCATTGGTATCGGTTCCTGGTATCGGTTAACTTTTACCGATACCAGTTTCGTATTGGTATCTGCACCGATACCAATACCAGTATCGGTATCGGTGCATGCCTAGTTTGTACAGCTTTATAGCTTCTTTCATGAACAACTTAGAGAATTTTCACAATAGAATTACTCTAAAACTATAACTTTTTTGCATTATTTTCCACAAACATTCTGACTTTTATCTCTGACTCAGTGGCCCTGATCCTCTTCCATAGATACGTAGTTCAAAGGTGACGGCTGCAGCTCTAAGCAGGGATTATTATGGTGGAATGAGGGGAAAACTTGCAAACCTGCCCCCCACAAGGCAGTTTTCAAATTCATGATTTATATTTTTACTGCAATGAGTCTTAACACCCCCCCCCCCCCCACACACCCCCACACACACACGCACATTTTTAAATCTTTGCATCAGAACATCGTTCTGCAGCTGAAAGGTAAAAAAAAAATACATTATCGGTGATATTTTTTTAAATGACTAATTCAGAAAGAGTTTCAGGAATTGGACACACTGAACGGTCTAATCCAGAAGATTAATAGCACGAAGCCAAGGGGGACCTTAAAGCCAAATTACAGTATACCTAAAATTACAGCTAAAAGAGTGATTAGTGCGGGGCTGATTGCTATCGCTTACACTTCCATAATCCCTGCTGACCAGAGTAATTATACAGTACGTTTCATCTATTTCAGCCTGTTTGAAGATTACATCCAAAAAAACTGAAGTCAGTTCATGTGACTTCTTTTTTAAACGGCTTCATTAATGATACTATAGGATGGATCTTTTATTAGGATCCAAACCTTGAAATAAGCCTGATATTTAAAGCCTGCTTCCCGCTCACGCCGGTCTTCCGAGGCCTGCAGACTCCGACGGAGCCGCAGCTCCCGGGAGGTTAACATGATAGAATTATTAATTCAGGGTAGCCATTTCTTTAAGGAGATTAGGGCTTGTGAACACGCTGCAGACTGCTGAGAGAAACAATGACATGCACACGAAGACGATGATGGAGCGCCTGAATCAGAGTGAAATGAAAACCGACACAGATCCAGGATTTTTCCCTCCTCCACCCAGAACAGGTTGCAAATTAATTTGGGTGAGGTTGTGCAGAACGAAGAGGGGGATTGTTTCGGCGCTAAAGCCGTGACTGGGGGGCGTATATATTTACAATACTGGAACAAAAGAAGTCTATAATCTATACAAAGCACACAACAATACCCGTGAATAAAGAAGCTTGTAGAAAAAGGGAGAGGCAATTTTTCTAATTCTGTTAATTTCACTTCCAAAGCAATTAAAAGCAGGCAGAGATAATGCTGGGAAACAATCGCCGGCTGACAAAGTGTTTCTGTCTTTGTAAATGAAACATCTTTAGGCTAATTTCAACTTCCACGCCTGCATGGTTCACTCTAATTTCAGATAAAGTTAACACGGCTAGATTTTGACCTTCATTAAAAAAAAAGAGACAAAAAAAACTGATCCTGTACACAATATTTTTAGAACAAGGTCCATGTCGTCCAAGCTTTGCTAGATCTAATTTTCTGTATCTATATGGACATTTTCATACAATTAATTTTCCTTTAATCATAATTGTACAAAGGGACTTGTGCATGTAAAATTCCAATTATATTTCCTGTTTAAAATGTAAGTTTGAATTATGATTTCCCTCCTCGTTACAGCTCTGGTTTAATGAATCAATCGCCTCATCGCTGCTTTCAGACATCAAATGGAGCAGAAAAGTTTCAGCTCCACTTTCTCCCTTCTTTTATCCCAGCAGAAATATTCCCCTTTTTCTGCTCCTGCGTTGGGCTGAGAGGAGAGCGATAAGTGCACCGCATTCCGCTTCATTTACCCGTTTTACAGCTAAAGCCCGTAATTGTTACGGCGCGATATCCAGGAAAATTGGACTGAACTCCTTCAAGAGATGGAGGAATAACAACGAGACAGAAGCCAAACATGAATCTGTGTAGGAGGGAAATCAGTTAGACCAAAATCCAGCTTCCAGGTTGGGATTTAAAACAGGAAGCCCGAAGTTCCTATTTGTTCCTGCAGCCAAAAATAATTAAATAAATAAACGATTGTTTCTCCAGACAATAATAATCACTTTTAGGACTAACTGTGAAATAAAAGTGCATTAAAATATTTTCTTTAAAAGTTTTATTTATCATTAAACATGTAAAAATAAAAAGTTTGTATGAATATTATAAATAGGGCCGGGACTTTAACGCGTTAATTATGATTAATTAGAAAAAAATGATGCGTTAAAAAAAATTAACGCATTTAATCACAGCTTCCATTTCGAGAAGGGCGGAACCTTTGTTATTGCACGATTTCCTCGTAGACCGAATACCACTGACGCACACAACAATGCACAGTGCTAATGGCTACTAAAACGGAATAAAAACAGAAAGATGTTGCCTTGCTTGGACTGATGCAGGATTTAGGAAACCCGTCCGCCTCTTTTCTCAACTTGGAAAATAAAACTTCCAGACAACGACGGAGTCCGTGTCGCGGACATTTTTTAGAGATCATCTCTGCTGCAGCTGCCCGGTG